AATGATGCTGAGTCATGTATTATGGGTTTTTTTTTTCTTTCTCTGTTCCTTGTTATCTTCTTCTAATCTGCACAAGAACTCTTGTAGAGTTTGAAAGAAGCCAATCAAAGAAAGGGTTATTGTTTGTGACACATGTCCTGCTGATATACCCAGCTGAATTCTTTGTCTCTCAAAAATTGTGAAATATTCAGCATTTCTTACTAGGAAAAGTATTTTGAAGAAGGCATATCAACTCCATTCTGATTTGGTAATTCTTGGCAATCATGCCATTCTTGTCTGCCATGAATGCTTTTTCTTTCCCTTTTGTAAAAATAATAAGACAAGTAGGCACAATATTCTGTTTTATTTTAGAAAAAGCAGATTTTTTTTTACCAAAACGAATTCTCTACAGTTTAACTTATCATAACTTAATATTCATCTTTGTGTGAATTATGGTTTCATTAAATTGGTGATTTTCTTTCTCATCCCCCCCCCCATTTAATTTTGAGGATAGGTTGCATTCTTGTTTTCAGTTGCATCTAACTCAAAAATCTTCATTATAATTCAAAATATTCGCTACAATTGACACTGAAAAGCAGAAGCTTGGCAAACTGGAATTTAAACAGCAAGGATGTTACAAACTTGTTTAAAACTGGATTGACATGAATACAGGCTCAGCCACCTTCATTACATCCTTTATATTCAAATGAAGGTTGGGTACATCAGCTGGATTTCGTAGATTGAATTTCACTGACAGCCACAAGGAGGGAAAATGAAATTTCATTTGTGTTCCCAACTCAATTGATAGTGCTTACCCCACAAATGAGCAATATAACATATGCCTGTGATGGCGAACCTATGGCACATGTGTCAGAAGTGGCATGCAGAGTCATCTCTCTGGGCACGTGAGCCATTGCCTGTTGGTCTTCCGGGTTCTGGCACACCGGCCAGCTGGTCTTCATGCATGTGGGAATGCCAGAAAATGGAAGAGCAGCCACCTGGAGAGCATGCATGCATTGGAAACTGAAAGATCTTCTTTCAGTCACCCGGCGTGCGCATGCACACCAGTCAGCTGGTCTTCGTGTGCACATGCCAGAAACTAGAAGACCAGGTGGCTAGTGCGCATGTGCGGGCCAGAAACCGGAAGCTGCCGCACTGGACAGCTGCTCTTCTGGTTTCCAGCATGCATGCACATGCTCCTGTCTCGGCACTCGGTGCTGAAAAGGTGCTGAAAAGGTTCGCCAACAGTGACATATGCTTTTTGTCATGTGGCCTTTTTCCAAACAAGGGACATCTCAACATTATGAGCTACCCTGTTTTCCCCAAAATAAGACATCCCCTGATAAAAGGCCCAATCGGGCTTTTGAGCGCATGGCAATAAGGCTAAGCGCTTAGTTCAAAAAAATATAAGACACGGTATTTTTATCAGAGCATAAAATAAATAGGACCTTATCTGTCGCAAAACACAACAATTATACAAATATTTTTCTTCTTTTAAAAATGCTTAAAAGACCTATGAACTAGTAGTGACTGGAAGGGAAAAAACGAAATCTACTTTTTGTTATAATAAAACTATAACTATAGTAGCTGTAGTTTTTAGCTATTATAGCATCAATTGTGTCTTTTCTTTTACCTACGTATAGCATCAAAATGTTGTCAATAATTAATTCTCTTTCAATGCTGATAATGCAAATCTGTTGGCCAGAAACCTCATTGAGGTAAAAGGTAAAGGTTTCCTCACACATATGTGCTAGTTTTTCCCAATTCTAGGGGGCAGTGCTCATCTCTGTTTCAAAGCTGAAGAGCCAGCACTGCCCAAAGACAGCTCCGTGGTCTTGTGGCTGGCATGATTAAATGGCAAAGGCTTACCTTCCCACCAAAGGTCCCTATTTTTCTACTTGCATTTTTTACGTGCTTTCGAACTGCTAGGTTGACAGAAGTTGGGACAAGTAACAGGCGCTCACCCCATTACGCGGCACTAGGGATTCGAATGTCTACAGCATACCAATCATCTATTACACTAACAACTTTCTCAAAGGAGAAGATCAATTTAATTTGAATGACATCAAAACAGTGTATACTGGTTAGCTCACCCCGTTACACGGCACTAGGGATTCGAAACACTGAACTGCCAACCTTTCGATCGACAAGCTCAGTGTCTTAGCCACTGAGCCACCACGCACCTCATTAAGATACAAAAGCCCAAATCAATTGATCAGAGGGTTACATTCTCTCTCTTGGTTATGTCATTGTCATAGAAAGACAGTGAGTGAAAGGCACAGTCTGTTCTCCTATTACATCTTTGAACTTTCATATTGGCCCTTCATATATACAAGCTGAACAAATACTGTAAAGTCTTGTTGAAATGGGAGAGCACTAAAATGACTCACTACTTAAACCAATAACACACCTTGTTTCAAAACCAGTAAACAGAGGCCCAGAATACAAGGCAAGGATAAAATTACTAAAGTTTCACTGGTTTATTGATAAAAACCTCATTTAGTTGTATTTTATGCTCACCTAGTAAATGCTAAATGAACCGAGATAGGAAGAATTGTTGTAAGACACTGATTAAATTCAGATGATACTTCCTCTATTGTTAACTCGCTTAATTGGCAGAGGGCAAGTATCATAGCAAGAGTTCGGGGGCAATGACAGATCAGTTCTTGAAATCATATTTGCGGATTCCAATTCTCCATTTTTTGTCAATTGTTCCTTGTGAAAGAAAAAGATCAGCATATGTGAAATATGAATATTATTGCTGCTGTTGTTAAATTATGTTTAAATTATTTTTAAAAATATAACTACCTTTTATTCTAAAATAATGGAGCAGTGTCCTAAATACAGACTTTAAAGTATCTAGAAATCTGAAGAATTAATATGTTCCAAATGACATATAAGCTTTCATATATACATCTTACAGATATGTGGATTTCAGTTCCTAGAATTCTTAGCAATTGTCATGCTAATTAATAAATCTGGGTGTTTCTATAATATGAAAAATAAATACATAAATAAAATATCAAGAGACAAAATCATCCACAGAAATAATGCTAGAAACAAAAATTAATCTAGCACCAGGGCAGATAAAGTTTTCTTCCCTTGTGACATTAAAATGTTTGAGAAGAGCCTCCCTAGTAGAATTGGGATATTTCTGGGTCTGATACAAAGAAAAGCATCCTTTGAGCTATCCACTTCATATTTTCAGGGTTAAAGCTACCATTTTGAATTAGCCTGAAAGCAAATAAGTGATCTCAGCATTGGTGAAATTTCACCTGGCTGAATCTGCTAACCATTTAATACCTAAATTCTGACTTGGTTGAAAGTCCCAGGTCATTTTCAGAACAGTATTCTGTAATAATAAAGTTGGGAATGTACTTAAGGAAGCACTAATAATGTCAGACATCCTATAACCCAAATCACATGTAGCTCAAGCCAGTCATAACTGGTGAAAGGCACTTCTGGCCACTAACAAACAAACTCGATCAAGCACTACCCTTAATCAGCTCTTGCTGTTTCATAGGACTGATGTCTGGTAATGTTTCAATTTCAATATCTGGGAATTAGGACTCAATAGTTTATCCGATTGAGATTCATCATCAATTTATAGATCCAAATTATTACTGAATTCAATAATGATATCTTCATCTTTTCAGCTTCACCTATGTCGAGGGACAAGAAAAATTAGAATTCAAGTAATCCGCATATTGGGAAAATCAATACATATCTACCCTAATTAATTCTTTGGTTCCATGATTCAAGGACTGCCTCTAATTTTGTCATTTTTCACTGTAGTTGCATCCACCTTAAATAATCATTGGTAATCCAACATTTCTACTCTATAAAGGTTGGGTTCTATATAAAATACATAGAACATAGTGGCAAGGTGCTGAACTTGGAGTCGCAAGAACTGTTTTCATAGTGTTGTGAAAGATATTGGGTGACCTTAAGCCCAGCCACTGAATAAAAAATGTGTTATAATTATAAGCTTACAATTGGGCAATCTGCTTATATGGTTACCATCTAGTTGGAAACAGGGGGATTAAAATGGGAATTCAAATAGATTGGAAGAAAGATTCACATTACAATATTATAATGGCAAGCATCATTTTAAAAAACAGATTTAATGGAAGGTGTTCTAATATTAATGATAGAAATAGCATTCTCCATCTCGTGAATAATGAACTGATGTTCAGACCCTCTTGAATCCCCAAACTTGTTGTTTTTAATAGTTTACCTAGGTGATGAATGATAGTCTTACTGATTTTAAAATACTGAGTTTGCAAAGTTGGCAAAGGGTCATTGGAACTAGAAAAATGTATTAACAGTCACTAGTTTTACATTGCAGCGTTTGTGTATTTTTCAGTGGGGTTATTTGATATGACTCCATTGTCATGGCAGAATTCAAAGTGGAAATAACCAAATGTAACTGAGCAAACACAAATCTTGGTACTACGTCACACCTTTGTTTTATTCAAATGCTGAAGACAGCTAGTTGGGTTTGGTTAAAGTTCACAGAAACTAAATTAGTTTATAATTCAAACATAGGTAAAATGTATTTTGTACTTGCTTTAGCTCTGATATTTTGTATATATTTTTGTTTAATTTGATTGTTGATGCTTTACCATTTCAACATAGTTGCACATTGATGTTATGATAATACACACTCCAGTACTGTGTTGTGCTGTGCTGTCATTCCTTCCATCGCTTTTCTTTGGCAGCTCAGTTCTTTTTTCAGTAAAAACTAAAGAAAGCATTATTAGTGAAAGGACTGACCATCTCAGATAGAAATTGTAGATGTTGAAGATGTAGATATTTGAAGACTATCAGGCCAGGGAAAAGAGGGTAAGTAGCAAAATGTATCCCCCCCCCCTTTTTTTTTTACACTTTTGATTAGTAACAGGCAAAATTCTCTGTGGGATATATCTGCCCTGGTAACAAGCTGACTTTAGAAGAAAAGAAAAATTTGTGGCACTTTCTACACTTGTGTCCCTATAATCAACTTGTTTTCTTTATTCTAGATACATTTTATCTTGCTGTTCAGCCGACAAGGGAAATTAAGACTTCAGAAATGGTTTATTACACTTCCTGAAAAGGAAAAGAAAAAAGTCACCCGAGAAATTGTGCAGATTATTCTGGCTCGAAATCAAAAAATGAGCAGCTTTGTTGACTGGAAAGATCTCAAGCTTGTTTACAAAAGGTGTGGGAAGTTTTATAAATCAACTTTTTATATACAGCAGATCTTTCCATGTGTGATAAAAAAGGGAAGAGGAATACATGCTCTGTAAGTCAATGCTAGAGTGCTGATAAATAGCAATTCACTAGACTGGAGAACGACCACATGCGTTCAGTTTCATCTTCTTTAAAAATTTATTGTTTTTTGCGGAAAGAGAAAATTTATAGGAATTGTATCACTATACTGAAGAAAAATCGACATTCAGCGGCTCCTGATAGCTGAAGGAAGGGCTGGGTAACATTTTCAAGTCAGTGACAACACCCAAACAACCTAGTCCAGTGTTTCTCAACATCAACATGTTTAAGATGCATGGACTTCAACTCTGGTTGAAGAGCTGGCTGGGGAATTCTGGGAGTTGAAATTGCTGAGGCTGAAAAACACTGACCTGGCCAGCAGACAATTTTTTTTAACCTTAACCCTTGCTGATATGATAAAAAATATTAGCTTTCACAATCATTTGAGGACTATCAATTTTTCTGCTAAGCTTGTGCGATAAAATCTCAGGGTGATCTGGAGCTGCCCATGGAATACTCAAGAGCAAAGTCGGGGCTAATTAGGAAGACATTTAGACTTAGAATAACTTTATTGTCAGTTTGAATGTACACTAATGGGCATACATTAAGATGAAATTTCATTGCACACAGCTCTCAAAGGGTCTCCACCTCCAATATACTCTACATAAACGTGACAAAATAAATAAATAAATACAAAATTATGCATATACCCACATATATTATAGGACATGAAGAAACATAGATTGTTCTAACTTGCCTTAGCAGTCCATTTACTAAAGGTCACAAAACAGCATGTAAATTTTCATCATGACCTTGAAAGAGCTGAATAAAAGTATACTGGAATATGAATGTGGGATTTTTAAAAAGAGACAATTGCCCTTTCTTTTAATGAAGTAAATTGTTTACCTAAAAACAATTTACCTCTACCAAGATGCAAATATTTAAAATATTATTTTGGACTAATATTCATAAAGTATTAAGATATATTGAGGTATGTTAAGAAGTAAAAAATAGGTTGGCATACCACAGATCTTAGAGAAATAGGGTGAGATTTTATGACAGATTATTGTGCTGAATTTTAAACTTACTTCATGTCTACATAACTGATATGGTACCTCTTGTTTTCATAATCACTGATAAACACTTTTCAGGGTGCTTTTAAGACAAATTATTTTATGATATACTGAGCAAGTTAAATTGAAGAAAGAACAAAACTGATATTTAATATATACTAATGGTCATGTTTATTTCTCCTCATTTTATAATTTAGGTATGCTAGTTTGTATTTCTGTTGTGCAGTAGAAGAAGAAGACAATGAACTCCTGACCCTAGAAGTTGTCCATCGTTATGTAGAGCTATTGGACAGATATTTTGGCAATGTAAGCTTAATTCTTTATTATTATTCCATAAATAACTTTCTTTGGATCTATTCTGATAACAAGTTTAACATGATTGTACAAAATGGAAGTTTTTGATAGCATATTATACAGCCAATAGTTAGTTTTTACAGCATTATGGAAGACAATGTAACCAAAGCTTCAAAAGAACATCACTTCTTATCAACCTGCCTGTGTATCTGGAAGTATATTGTATCCTATCTTTTTTTTCTTGCACTTCAGTTCTTTTTTTTTAAAGTTTTTTATTTTTTAAGACAAACAAACATTTAATACATCAATCATCCCTCCCCTGTGACATCTCGGTGTTAACTTCTTCAATTCTTTTTATTCTTCTTGTTCCAACAGTTTCTTCTATCTTAATCATCATCCAAACCACTATAAAAGTTCAGTCCTATAACCATATTCTTGCCATTCAAATTTTTACACATAGTTATAAAATTAATCATTTATATATCTTGTCCAACCAACAATAGAAATAATTCCATATTCTAAAGTATTCTGATTCTTCCCTATCTTTGATCAACAAAGTTAATCGGTTCATTTCTGCCTATGTATCTGGAAGTATATTTATCCTATCTTTTTTTCTTGCACTTCAGTTCTTAATGTAATGTTCATCTCTATAAACATTCAATGTAGAATAGAGAGAATATCAGAATACTGAAGGGCTAACTCTTTTAAAGCTCTCCTTTCCCCTCCAGAAATTAATTTCTGTATACACTTCCAATTCATGCTAAAACAAATACATTGCATAATGTGTTTTCTTTTCATTTGGTTTATTATGCCAGCATATTACAGCTCCCATGAATGAATTTGAAGAAAGGTCAGCTTGTTTATAAAAAGACATAATAATATATGAAGAATATATAAGAATATAAGAAATAATAGCCAGTGCATATCCTTTAGATGGCTTTTTATAAAACCCAACTGTAGGATTTTATTTCTAGAAAAGTGTGAAAAGGATTGCAGTCTCTCAACAGTTAGGGATATAAAATGATCTTGAAATGTCACATAGTCCTTAATTATTTCAACTTGAAACCACCAGAATACATTTAATTTTATATACCCTTTGTTCCCTGGGTGTCCTAGAAGTGTATTTATTCACAAAACAGGGTTTTGATGGGTCTGAGTATATATTAACATATTCAGAAGCAGGATACTGACTCTAAATATTTATTTCTCTAATCCTTAACAGGTATGTGAATTGGATATTATTTTCAATTTTGAGAAAGCATATTTTATACTTGATGAATTTCTAATGGGCGGGGAAGTTCAAGAGACATCCAAAAAATCTGCGGTGAAAGCCATAGAAGATGGTGATATGTTACAAGAGGTAAGGCAGAAGAGAGAAAAAAACAAATCCCTCCCTTTCCTTTTCTTTAAAAAAAAATATTATTTTCCCTACTTATTGTTTAGGCCAGTGTTTCTCAACATGAACAACTTTAGGATGGGTAGCCTTCAGCTCCCAAAATTCTGTCTGGCTGGGGTATTCTGGGTGTTGAAGTCTACTCCTCTTAAAGTTGCGCAGGTTGAGAAACACTGATTTAGGCCATCAATCATACTCTAACAAGATGAAGAATATAAAAAAAAAATAGAACGCAGGGTTTTTTTTTAATTTATGAGACAAATAACAGATAATATCAAAGTCAGAATACTATATAAAAAGTTCAACTCCTAGTCACTTCATGATGTTCTTATAGTTTTCTTGTTCAAAATTCAGAAATGTTTTGTCATTGCCTTCAAGGATATTTTTTGATTTCCCATTCCACTTCATAAATGGATATTTCCTATTTAAGTTCTTACTAGCTTTTTAGTTTAGGGAAGGGGTCCCCAAACTTGGCAGCTTTACGACTTGTGGACTTCAACTCCCTGAACTCCCAGCATAGCTGGCTGAAAAATTCTGGGAGTTGAAATTTATGTTGAAGTTCAACTTGAAATTAACTGAACATGCAAATAATATTGGAGACTGTAATTCTAAAGTTAGAACCATAAGGAGGAAAATGTAGTTGAATTGTATGCCCAGGAAATCAAATAAAGCAGGAGAATGATGTAACAATTTCTGCCAATCCAGTTATTTATCACTAATACATTCTTCAATTTTACCAACTTATGTTAACATATAGGATGTACCAAAATACAGACCTCATAAACAATTTATTGTGTACATTACATTAAATATTTGAATTGGTTTCCATTTTCTTCTAACCATTTCCTTACTCTTTATGGATGATTAGTAAACATTCCTTAGTAACATTTTCTCTGAAAAATAATATTGTGATTGACTTATGCAACTTGACTTTTGGTACACTATGGTCATTATCAATGAAATTGATAATTCACTTTATTATATTATACCAGTTTATTGTTTGTATAAGGATGTAGAAAAGCTTATTTATATAAAAATGATATGGCCAGGGTCTGACTGTAGAACTGTGGTGGAATGTGGTCCAGATTCCTAATTCCTAGTTGTTCAACTAAAGTTGAACAAGAAAGCCAACTAGCTTCTCTGGTATGATCTTGAACATGTACCCACTATTTTCAAGGAGAACATCAGAATTCATTTGAAGTTCTGTACTTCACAGATCTAGGTGAACAATGGAGTGAATGAAAGATATTGTTAAAGATAAATAGGAAAACATACTATCAAAGATCAGAAAAAAGCACACTGGATGTCAGAATGAAGGTGGAGATTGCAAAGAAAAGAAAAGAAACCAAAGACAAGGAAGCCAAAGATCTCAAGGAAGAACTCAACACAACATTTCTAAGACATATTAGAAGGAACAATAAGCACTATTACAACAGTAAAGATGAAACAAAAAAAAAACAAAAAACCATGGAAAAATAAGAATAGTATTTCAAAAGTTTTCTTAACTCAGAAGGAGGTTTCAGCCTTGAATTGGCATGCTTAAAATGCCAATGGATGGAGAGAATTAATTCAAAGTATAGCGTTCAGACTTTCAGTATTCTGAAAGTCTGTACACTATATGTGTCAACTTCCACAAGATATCCTATATATTTATAAAAACCACTAATACTGGAAGTTAGATCAGTTATTTATTATCAAGTTTGAAAGCTATAGGAGTTGATGAAATATCTATTGAAATATGGCAAGCAACAGAAGAATCTATCAAATTTCTGACCAAAGGCCAGCTAATCAGGAGAAAGACCTGGTGGCCAGCGGCTTAGAAGAAGTGATTGCATATCAATACCAAACAGAAAAGGCTTAACAGAATGAGCAAGTATTCACACAATATACTTAATTATACCTGCTAGAAAAATAATGCTTAGGATCACCCAAAACAGATGACAGCCCTATATGGCAGCAGAAATGCCAGATATTTGACTGGCTTTAGAAAATCCCAAGGATTAAGAGAATTATTGCTGATGCCAGCTAGATAATCAAGAAAGTCAAATAATAATAATAATAATAAAAGTTCTACAAGTGCTTCATTGATTATAGAAATGCCTTCTTTTGTGTCAATCTTGTTATGGAATGTACAAAACACACACACACACACACACACAATTCTGTAAGATATCAAACATTAAAATGCATAGCCTACTCATCTAGTGTTTTCAAATACTTGCTTTCATGGCCAGAATTAAGTAAAAAGGGATTTAAAAAAGGCAGGACTATTTTTCCAATCTGTCCAACATGATCATTATAATTACTATCAGCTGTATAAATTAATACTTGGATACCCTACTTATTCCTAATAGCATGTACCTAATGATGTTATGGAAAAACAAGGTATCATTTGTGAAACAATCTTAAATCTCATTTGTTCAGCAACTGAGCTGAATACGTAACATAGTAAAATTAGTCTCGATGGGACATAAGCACATCATTGAGGCTGATTTGTGCACAAGTAATGCTAGGATTTAAAAAAAGTATGGGAATGATTTTATCGTGCTAAATACTTCCATAGAAGCATCTAAAACGAACCCAAATCAAACATTTTGTTGATTAAATACGTTGATAATCCATTTTTAATCCAGAGACAAGATTGAGATTCTCAGTGTTTAAAGAAAAGCTTAAGTTGCTAGGCTGCATAGAAATATAGAAAACTGACAGCAGTAAAAGACCTAATGGATTCATCAAGTCTGCCCTTTGAGTGTTTTTTTGTTTTGTGTTTAATTTATTCATTATTTTTAATTATTTTTTAATTTTTGCCAGATGATGGACATGCATGATTGTAGGTTGTTGAAGGAAAACACTAGAATTATTTGATTGAAAGATTATTAACAAAATGTTTCATGTTCATAAGATTCATGATTTCAAAACTACTTATTTCATTTTTGTACTGAAAATAAATAATTTTAACATTCAGAATTAGCCGACGCTGGAAGATTAAGCTAGCTAGTGAGAACAGAATGAGTCCATTAATAATGTGATTTTTCTTTAGTTTAGCAAATTAGTTTCAGTTATCTGGTTTTGAATGGGTTGATTGTTCTTACATTATGAATTCTATGTGTAACTTCTGATAACTAATTTTTTTTCTTGATTGTTCTTTGTTGCAGACAATGGAAGAATATATGAGCAAGCCTGCCTTTTAAATCAAAACTACAGAACCAGCTAAAGGGACCATGTAACATGGCATAACATCTCAAGTGCCAGATTTTGTTTAAAATACACATTGCCCAAGTTCTAAAAGTGATATGTTATCTATGCAACTGTCAAGATGAAGGTCAGCCACAGTGCTGTCAGTATAGCAGCACATGTATATTATACTTTATATGAATTTATTTTAATTTAATCTTTCTTGGCTGTCTAGATTGAAAGTTTTATGGCAACTCTTACTATCAACTTTTTACTTCTAAGAAATTGATACTAGAATCTTTGAAGGATATATTTATGACTCTGGACCAGTTTCTGATCAATTCAATATAATTTTGTAAAAACAAAAATTGTTTTGTGATTATTTCTTCTATATTAATAATAATACTTTTACAAAACATATGGTGTTGATAGATTTAATTTTTAACTTGTTTTGACAGCAAGTGTCCTGGACTGTAGATAATTTAATACATTATAGTCCTTTGTGTTGAGGGTAAATCAATTTTTTACAAGATTGAATACAAATTTTTGCCAAGCATTCCTTAATCAGCATTTCTGCAAGCTGAAAGAGAGCAATTATATCCCAATTTAGATAATTTTTATCCTGGCTTTGAGCTTCTTCAGTGAAGCAATAAATTGAAATGGCTGAATTTTATCCTTACAGCTGTAGACCTACAAACATATAAATGCAGTTGCACAATGGCTAGAGGCTTCCTTGAGTTATTAGTTAATTTACTGCATCAGGGCCTTTAATAGATTTGGGAAGTATGGGGATTTCATTTTAGAGAACCCATTTTTCTAAGGTTTCCCATGGTAAAAAGTTGTCATGGAATATAACTACCAGGCAGATTGAAATTCCTTAAATACTGTAATCTAATTAGCTGGAGTGTACCAAGTACTATAGTCTGAGAAAATGGGTGCCATATAAATTTAACAAAACAAACAAAGAAAGAAACATTTTCCAAGAACATCTCCCTTTAATCCTGGACAATGAAGAGTGAAAAGCAACGTCTCTCAGGTTATCATCAGATTCTGATGGTGAAAGTCTAGAAAATACAAAACTGAAGAAAATGTTATAAAATTCTTGAGCATATGAGGAGCACTTCTGTAGACATGCAGTCATGCACATGATGTAAGAACTGTTTACTAAAATTCATTTTCAAAGGTCACAGTCCTCTAATTATGAGAAATAACTTGTTTGAGAAAAGAAAAACATAGGAGACTGAACTGATGCAAAAAAAATATGTTAAACGATAGATCCCTACCAATGCCATTAACAACATCTGATCTGAGAAAGAGAGAGAGGGAGGGAGGGAGGGGAGAGAGGGGAGAGGGAGGGAGGGGGAGAGAAGGAGGGAGGGAAGAAGAGGAAAAGAGAGGGAGGGAGGGGGAGAGAGGGAGAGGAGGGAGGAAGGAAGAGAGGGAGAGAGAGAGGGAGAGAGAGAGAGAGAGAGAGAACAGGATGTTCTGCATTTGTGTTTTGTCCTTCAATTGATTTTTTTGGAGAGGACAGATGAAAATTAATCAGTAACAAAAAAGAATAACTATTCATCTACTCCTGGGATGAGAACGCACTGATTCCACATATTTTTCACATTGATGCTATTAGCTAAGAAAAATGCCTCAAGAGGCACATAAAACTCTCTGTTTTAGGATTCAGTCCATTTAGACTGTGTGCTCTGAGGCAAAATGCCTTTCAAAAGGTGTCCTGGTGTATGTATTGTGCGTGTATGTGTGTCTCTGTGCGCGCGCATGTAACAAGAAATACCCCCTTCCCCACAACACACAAATTTTTATAACAATGAACGTTGGTACTTATTTTTCTTAAAATGGAAACAAACTGAAAGAAAAGATATAGATTGAAGTGTTGACTGAACACTTATAGGACTCATCAGAAGAGGAAACAGGAAGTCATCTATTATCCTTTCAACCATACATTTATTGGCCTTCACTGGGTTTTTTCACTCTTCCCATCATTGCCTTCTCAAGTCCTTTTCTGCTGAAACCTTCCATATGCCTAAGAATATGTTAGTGGGATGTAGTTCCTGCATTACTGACAATTTGTCTCTTGAAAAATTATTCATAAGACACAACTTTAATCACATTTTGTACATTTTCTATTGGGTTCACATGTATACATGTATGTGTCATGCCAAGAATATCAGATATATACAGTATTTGATCATATCTTTTCTTTAAAATCCTGCTGTATCAATTTTAGCTATATCTTGTCCATGATTCTGTTTTCATAACAGGTAACCAGATGACTATGAAAAAATCACAAGCAGAATATGGCAGTGACTCTTTTTTCTTAGTTGGGTTTCTCAGCAGTTATTCTTCAAGAAATACCTGTTAACAATAGAGGTAAAACATGACCACTTGAAGTAATGTCACTGATAGTTTGCTCCATGAATTTGGATAACTCCCTTTTACAGCCAGATAATTTGACATCCTGTTGTAACAAAGTCAGAATTTAACAAAAGTCAGAATTTTTACTCAGTATTTTATGAAGTACTTTTTTGGCGTCAATGTCATTCAATTTAATTAGCTCAATATGAGTTTTCCCTTTTCTTTTCTTTTCTTTCTTTCTTTCTTTCCTTCCTTCCTTCCTTCCTTCCTTCCTTCCTTCCTTTCTTTCTTTCTTTCTTTCTTTCTTTCTTTCATCTATCTATCTATCTATCTATCTATCTATCTATCTATCTATCTATCATCCATTTATCTATCTCCATAGTATCAGATTAGTATTGAAGGCATTCAAGTTCAAATTTCCATTCAATCATGATCCGTTTCACAGAATTGTCAAGAGGATAAAAATACTATGAAACACAATGTATATTATTTGATTTGCTAGGTCAAGAATTGACAAGTGGCTTTATGCGGTGCTAAAACTAATTTACAAAGTCCTTTATAAGTAATTGTTCAAAGTTCTACAAGGATAGTCTGCCTCTTTCCTCACAATCTTCTTTGTGGAGAGAAAAGATTGGCAACCATCAAAAAAAAGGCAAACGGTTTTTAGAAGAAGACAAAATAGGATTCCAGATCCACTAATGGAAGATAAATAAGTGACATTGAAAGGGATTGAAAATGCCTTTCACAGAAGCCTGGGTCACACCTTAAGCCAATAGGGAACAACCTGAGACTCCAGAGCCCTGTTATCACTTTTTGAAGTGCCTTCTCATCCCAAATGTCAAAAATCTGCCTGTTATTTCCTGACATTTTGAGATGAGAAATACAGTGTAGCATAAGCTTTTAAATAGCACAATTTTGTTTTAAAGAGTGAAGAAACATTGCATCAAAATTTCTGCAAAAGCCATTGAGAAGGAATTGCCTCTTTCCATTCTGCATCCTCATTCCACCCAGTATGATCCTGATCCTTTCCAAAATTATGGAATATGGGTATTGTCATCAATTATACATCAATGGCTTAATGGATTTTATTTGGCAATGTCATGTTATGGAACTATAGCCATTGTTACCTAAATATACCACTTAAATCTAATATACCACTTGTCATGGTGTGTGAATCTAGGCAATTGTGGCTTATTCAGTAGCTTGGTTAAGCAAACGTGACTTACTCAGTATATACCCTTTATTATTTGAGTGACATTTTTACTTTGGACCAGTCTCTTTCTTTCAGTCCATCTCACAGATGTGATATTATAGGGAAAACAGATGGAAGCATTGGGTATGTTCATTTCCTTGGATTAACAAAAAGTAAAGGCAGGATGAATCAAAGAAGAAAACAGAAAAGGACAGAAACACACTGGGATTGGTTTGATTTGTTTTGCTTTGAAAAATAGTTGTAAATGTTTCCTAGTCCATGCATCTCCATGGGACCAACATGTTTGCTAATTGCCTGAAATAAATCAGGTTTTTCTGCTTTTTTTTTTTGGCTGGGCTGATTCAAATGTTGGAGGGGGGGAGAAGAATGTTCAAAATCTTACACAACTGATTTTAGTTTGAAAGCAAATGTATACTGGAACAATCCTTATCTCTTCTCTACCAAGCTGCAGCACTGACCTCTTCCTAGCTATGGCCAGGCATCTACCACTCACAACTGGGAAGGCAACTCATTAGTTCCCAGGTAGCAAGAAAACAGCTTTCCTTAAAGGAATTATCTCACGCTGCAACAGGCAAACTGGTGTCAAGTTTTATATTCTTTTTAATCTACACAACATTGTATTTGAAGGACAGAAATATAACTTGCAGGGCATAAGAATTCTTTTTTTACTCCTTTAGTTTTGTTATCTTTTCCTGGTGCTGCCTGGAACAGCTTTCTTTAGAGCAGGGATGTCAAACTGGATTTCTTCAAGGGTCGGATCAGCTTTATAGTTTTCCTCCGCGGGCTGGCCAGGGGGGAGGGGAGTGTTTTCATGGCCGGTTTTTGGCCTGGACAAAAACCAGCAGCACTTTGCCAGGGCGCAGAGGGTACACACGGGCCCCGGCATTCTGTTTTGGCTGGCAAAGTGCTTCAGGAGGCCATGCAGGCTTAAAACAGGCTACACGGGGCTGCACGTGGCCCCCCTGTGTCCCGGTTTGGCTGCCAGAGGCACCACAGGCCAGTCCTTTGCTATTTCCAGTCCAGCCCCGCAGGCCAGATTTAAATACCCCATGGGCTGGATCTAGCCCGCGGGCCTTGAGTTTAAGACACCTGGTTTAGAGTATACATTCAGCAGTTATTGTGTCCTACTTGAACTAGTTTCTTATGTCCATGATATTCATGAATTCAATCTATGAACAAATCCTGCTGTCCAGCTAGACTGAGCATCTAAATTTAAATATGCTGGGACCAAGAATAAAAAGTTATAGTCAGATCTAAAGTCTGCATTGTAGCAATAGACTTGTTCTGGAAATAAAGATGACTGTTTTATAAAAAGGTTTATTCACATGAGATTTCATTTCATCTTTCATCTTTCATCTTTCATAATTGGAGATTTGAAAGGGGTTTTTTGTGCTGTGTAAAATATAAGGCTGAATACCAAAAAAAAAAACAAAAAAAACCTTAACCAGGTTTAACAATTAAAGATAGAAAGGAACCCAATGTTAGAATAAATGTTTTGCAATGACTCCAAATTAAGTCACTAGTAACTCCAGTTAGAAAGTTCAGAAAAAAGATATTGGTCGAAGTCATAAAGCCTGCTGAAGAGTTTGCTTTGGTATAAGATAGCTTCTTATAGTCATCAGTACTAAATGGCTCATTTTAAAGACAACAGTTTCAGTAACAAAAATTAGTAGCTTTTTAAAAAATAGGATTTTAAGTAGGGAATATTGAAAAAGCATTTCTCTTGACCTTTTTTCAGCAAGTAGATCCTAGTATACATAATAGTTGCAACTATTTTTGCATGTGTCCAAAGATCTCAACCCTTCCTTTATTTTTCAACTAGCTACTGCTCTAGGCTGCATGAGCCATAATTGTTCTCTAAAATAAAGTGCTGTCCAGATTCTGACCCTGAGCCTGAAAGCAGACAATTGATATCATTGCACTCATTGGATCCACATTCCACATTAATTCCTAATGGGATTAATCTGATTTTTGTTTAGGGTACTGAATGTATCCAGCCACTGTGATCTATTCAGTAAAGAATGATTAAATAAACTGTGTGCAAATCCAGTGAAAGAAACACATCTGCCTTTATTAAATCTTTTCTGCCAATCTTTCAGTTTGAGCTAAAAAATGCCCAGGCCACATTGCTGTTAGTTCTGTCTTCTCTACTATCTTTGACTGCATGTTTTGTTTCCTGTGTTGAATCTTCAGCAATGAGTTCACCAACCTCTGGTCCAGTTGAACTTCTCTTCCCATTTCATAAGTAGACTGCACCATTAAAAAAACAAAGCCTGAAAAAAGGAAGGCAAAATGAGACAGCCAATTTAAGTAGGAATCTTGGATTTTTGGTAGTTTCTCTGAATCTTTGCCTACACTTTCCAAACTATAAATAATATTCAACATTAGTGATCCACTAAGTTTCTGACATTGATTTCTGACTAAGTTTTCTTCCACGCAAGCTTTATATATATAAAAAATGCTACAAACAGCCTGAAGGGGAAGCTAGCAAATCTACTCTGGTGTGTCTTTGGCTTCATGCAATTTTAAACAGATTATTTTCCTCCCGAATTTATCTGTTTACCATTTTAACTCTGGGTGGAGAGCAGTAGAAGGAGCTATGTCTTTGATTTTCAAAAGCACTTTTATGTGTTGCCTTTTCTCATCCATCAGCAGCTATTTGGGCAGTTCCTGTGAAAAGAGAAGATGTAGTAGTAAATTTTGCTTCTAGCAAAACACTTGCAGCAACCTCAGAAATAACAAATGTTTATTCTTAAAAGTTCACTCTCTATCTGCAATCTACAGGTTGCAGAATAAAGTTGCATTGTATCTTGGTGAGAAAGAAAGGCAAAAGGCTCCATGTGAAGTACTACCTAAGGGAATTGTTGTTTATTTTGTTATTTGTCTAACAAATAAACTAGTTATTTTGCAAAGACTAAAAAAGAAATTTGAATGGAGCATTTATTTAGGTGTGTATAATTTTATATTATTGATCATCATAACTGTCAGGCAGACATTTAGTTATTTTATTTTGGTATTCATACAATCACAAAGATGCCTAATTTACTTTGGTATATTTTACTATTGGCAACTATATTACAAGTAGTACATGATTTACCAATCAAACTGAGACCAGAATGCTCACTGCTAAGCAAATGAATCATGTGGTCATTAAAAAAGAAATTAAAATGGCTTCCTCCATTGACTTTGCTTGTTGGAAGCCAACAAATGCCAATCACATGATTCAAGGACACTGCAATTGTTGTATAAACATACTAGTTGCCAAATGTGCAAATTTTGATCATGTGACCATGGGAATGTGGCAATGGCTATAAGCATAAGAACTGGTTATAAGCCACATTTTCAGTGCCATTTTAACTTTGTATAGTCACTAAATGATTGATTGTAAGTCAAGGACTACCTATACATATTTCAATATTCTCTAATGTGATGATTGACTACAATTAATCACATTAAATATATTTGAAGGAGCCAAGTAATCTATTCTGTCAGTTTTTTAATATCAAACTTAATGGAATTAAGATCAACAGTGGCATTGTGTCCCTTAGAGGTAGAACTCTAACCTCACAATCAGGAGGTTGTGAGTTCAATCCTAGCTAGCAACAGATATTTTTTTCTCTCTGGCGCAAAGAGAAAATATCTGCTGTGAACTCCATGTAGGCATCAGGAAGGGCATCCAGTCAATAAACAGTCAGCTCCTTCAGTCACCCTGACTCCACTTTATAGTTGTTAAAAGGGAAAAAAAGTGGAATTTAGACCAAAGTATTGGCAACTAAGTTATAGTTAAAAGTTATAATACTATTGTAAACATCCTTACTGTTTCATATCCTGGCTTGGAAGGAGTCCCTAAACCAGAATTTTCCAGTTCAATCTTCACAGAAGACTATAGATTAATGATCTAGGATACTAACATCAAAGTAGGCACTTCCTGTTAATTTTCAGGAAGCATGTTCCTCTACTTTCAGCCATTTGAGGTCAGAAAACAGACTCCACAAGAAATACTGGAACTCTATTGATATTGGCTAGAGCAGTGATGGCTAACCTTTTTGCTGTCATGTGTCAAAAGTGGGAGTGTGGGAGGTTGCGTGCATGCATGCCCACACCCATAATTTAATGCGTCTCACCCCCCTGTGCATGCACGTGTGACCCCCCACACTCCCTCCACTTTTGGCACGTGATGGCATGGTGGGCCCGGTAGGCCCATTTTTGCCCTCCCCAGGCTCCAGAGTCTTTCTAGGAGCCTAGAAAGGGTGAAAACAGCTTTCCCCATCCCCCGGAGGCCCTCCGGAGGCCAGAAACAGCACATTTCCCAACATCCGGTGGGCCCGGAAGGCCGGAAAATCAGGTGGCTGGCACGCGGATATGAGCTGGAGCTGAGCTAGGGCAACGCTTGTGTGCCCACAGATATGGCTCCATGTACCACATGTGGCATGCATGCCATAGGCTCGCCATCATGGGCTAGAATATAATAGCTTGCAAATGCTGCAGCATCTTTTCTTTCCTTATATCAAGGACAGTCAAGGCAGGGTTACTTTAAGTTTTTTTCTAGGCTACATTCATTTTTGCTATTACCAGCTTATTCCTTCTCCAAGGCCATCTTTTATTTTTCTTTTGAGACAAGATTTAATTTGTTTTTATACTCTTTAAAACTGTATAACTATTACATAGAAATTGCTGGACAATGGAAATAATTTGTATGCTCTTAACAGAGTTCTATAATCCTTTAACATTGGAAATGTAAATTTATGATCCCCAAAATTCAGTAGATTGAAGCTCTGAAGTTACTTGTGATTTTTTAAAAAAAGTTGCTTAGAAATGAATATTATGTACTGTATGGATGATTAAAACACATGTATCTTGTATTAAAGTGGTTGTGTAATATTTCATACATCTATATACACACATGAAAATCCATTCTTGTTATATTTTTACATTTCTTTCTATTGTTTTATTTTCTGTTTTTGTTGGTTTTGTAGTAGTTGTGGTTCTGTTTAAAAGGCTTTTTAAATGTAACATATACTTTTGATTTTCTTAATTTCTTATATGAAACCTACTACCTGCACCTTTCCTTTTCTGAAGCTTCAGCTATCCAAAAAATTGGGCAAACCAGCATACTCAGTATAGTACTTTTTAGAATTTGGGGAAGGGGCTAATACTGGATCTTAGACCAATGTTTTTCAACTTGGTCAACTTTAATGTGTATGGATTTTAATTTACCATAATTCTGGGAGCTCAAGCCCACATGTATTATTATTTTTTAAATTCATATTGTATGTTTAAATACATATAATACATACAATTAAGTATATAAATACAATTCTGTAAAAATTGGGCTGATAAAATTTTTGCTGTTAAGAATAATTTCATAATCACAGGTATAATAATAATTTCAAAAACAGGTATAATAATTCAATCAATGGTAAAAAGCTTGTGGTTGCACTTCATTAACTGGCATTTCACTCAAAAGAGAATCAAACTTTTCTCTACTCTGTAGTAATACAATGCAACAATATGCATATCTCACAGACAAAAGAAAATCTCAGTAATAGCTCTAATCTAAAAACTACCCAAATCATAATAATCAGAACCTGTCTGTATATATCACTATACACCAGTGGTGAAATCCAATTTTTTTTACTACCAGTTCTGTGGGTGTGGCTTTGTGGGCATGGTGTGGCTTGGTGGGCGTGGCTTGGTGGGCATGGCAGGGGAAGGATACTGCAAAATCTCCATTCTCACCCCAGCCAATGGTGGTATTTGCCAATTCTCTGAACTACTCGTATTTTCCGTTACTGGTTCTCCGAACCAATAAAAATTTCCGGTACTGGTTCTCCAGAACCTGTCAGAACCTGCTGGATTTCACCCCTGCTATACACTATCCAATCTCACTGTCCCTTCACTGTGCGTTTCCCTCTAATACATTTTAAAAGAAGGCAGCAAGGCTGAGGTGGCTTTCCCAAAAGTTCTGGGAAACTTGTGACAGGGTCACAAGAAAGTGACCCTGTTTTTTCTGTCTATTGCAGTATTAAACATTTAACAACAACAACCAAAAACAGGCTGCTCTGCTTTCTTTCCTGCTTTCCTGAATCTTTGTTCCATGCACAGATTTGGTAAAGGTGAGTCCCATCATATCCAAAAAGGTCTCACTGATTATCATTGGTTGAGAGCCACTGAACTAACATCTAGGCAAGCCTTTTGGAAAAGATTATATTGTGTAGAATGGGTACATCTGAACTGATAAAGAGAGAGTCCTATGTTCCAATCTATACAAAGTCGCCCTTAGACATAATGGAGAAGGAAAACCCTGTCAGCCTGTCATGTAGTCACCATGGTATACAATCTGCATTTGTGGTGATAACCTGAGGCTGGGAAAAGAGCTGGAAGAAAAGAAAACACCAATAAGGTTTTCACAAATACACGGAGTCTCTCAGCTGGACAAGTTGAAAAGAGCTAAGCAGCTGCAGGAAGTTGTTACTTTTGGACAGAAAATAGAAGGGGGGAAAAATGAATGAGACTGAGTGCAACAGAGTGGTCAATGCCTGGAATTCTCTACCTGACTCCATTGTTACACCCTCAAACCCTCACAGCTTCAACCTTAAACTGTCTACCATGGACCCCATTCCTAAGAGGGGGTGAGTACATAAGCGCACTAGCATGCCTACCGTCCCTGTCAGACGTGGGCTTCAGCAGGTCCTGACCAGTTCTGGAAAACCAGTAGTGGAGTATTTCGGAGAACCGGTAGTAAAAAATTCTGACTGGCCCTGCCCACATCTATTCTCTGCATCCCAAATCCCAGCTGATCGGGAGGGAATGGGGATTTTGCGGTAACCTTCCCCTGGAGTGGGGTGGGAATGGAGATTTTACAGTATCCTTCCCCTGCCACGCCCACCAAGCCATGCCACACCCACAAAGCCACGCCCACAGAACCAGTAGTAAAAATTTTTGAAACCCACCTACTGTCCCCATTTATTTGTATTCATTTACCTCGTTCATTTCTATGTTCATATTCATACCTGCTATTTGTACATTTGACAAACTAATAAAATAAAAATAAATAAATAAAATGAGTGCTGAACAGATGCAATTTCCAGGGTGATTCAAAATCAATGAAGAATGTGAGGAGGACAATGATGCAATCCAGGACCTGTCTACTTGGTTGGACATTTAGAGGGAAAAAATGATCCAAAATTACTGAAAGCAGAGATAGGGATGTCAGAAAGGTGCTTTTTTCAAGAGGCAACTGGACTTCTCCCGGATCCCATTCCCACCCCATTAGCCCTCGTGTTAGCGAGGCCAGCTTCGGTTGCAGCCGGGTTGAGCCAGTGTCTCAGGGTGGAGAGCAGGTTGCCCATCTCCCCAAGCAACTGGAGCATGCTTGTTCTGACCTAGGCTTCCCCAGCAGCACGAAGCCAAGTCCTCATCCCGATAAACCTCTTTTATTTAATTTACAGTGAATTCCTCTACAGCAAAGTCTTTCCTCTCCCACAGTCTTTCAAGATAGTTCACAATTACTGACCTTTATCAGGCTTGGAACGTGGCCAGGATGATATCTTTCAGATGCCACAATATTTGGCAAGAATTCAGTAATGAACTAATTGTCTCCTGCAAACTCCACTTCCCTTTCACTCCTCCTTTATTCCCTCTGGGAGGGGGCATTCATCGTCCACCTG